TGCCGGGAAAGGTAGTGCTGTGCCTGGAGGTAGTGCTGTGCCTGGAGGTAGTGCTGTGCCTGGAGGTTGTGCTGCGCCTGGAGGTTGTGCTGCGCCTGGAGGTAGTGCTGTGCCTGGAGGTAGTGCTGCACCTGGAGGTAGTGCTGTGCCTGGAGGTAGTGCTGTGCCTGGAGGTAGTGCTGCGCCTGGAGGTAGTGCTGTGCCTGGAGGTAGTGCTGTGCCTGGAGGTAGTGCTGTGCCTGGAGGTAGTGCTGCACCTGGAGGTAGTGCTGTGCCTGGAGGTTGTGCTGCGCCTGGAGGTTGTGCTACACCTGGAGGTAGTGCTGCGCCTGGAGGTAGTGCTGTGCCTGGAGGTTGTGCTGCGCCTGGAGGTAATGCTGTGCCTGGAGGTTGTGTTGTGCCTGGAGGTAGTGCTGCGCCTGGAAGTTGTGCTGTGCCTGGAGGTTGTGCTGTGCCTGGAGGTAGTGCTGTGCCTGGAGGTTGTGCTGTGCTTGGAGGTAGTGCTACACCTGGAGGTAGTGCTGTGTCTGGAGGTAGTGCTGTGCCTATAGGTAATGCTGCACCTGGAGGTAGTGCTGCACCTGGAGGTAGTGCTGTGCCTGGAGGTAGTGCTGCACCTGGAGGTAGTGCTGTGTCTGGAGGTAGTGCTGTGTCTGGAGGTAGTGCTGTGCCTGGAGGTAGTGCTGCACCTGGAGGTAGTGCTGCACCTGGAGGTAGTGCTGCACCTGGAGGTAGTGCTGTGTCTGGAGGTAGTGCTGTGTCTGGAGGTAGTGCTGTGTCTGGAGGTAGTGCTGTGCCTATAGGTAATGCTGCACCTGGAGGTAGTGCTGCACCTGGAGGTAGTGCTGCACCTGGAGGTAGTGCTGCACCTGGAGGTAGTGCTGTGCCTGGAGGTAGTGCTGCACCTGGAGGTAGTGCTGTGCCTGGAGGTAATGCTGCACCTGGAGGTAGTGCTGTGCCTGGAGGTATTGCTGCACCTGGAGGTAGTGCTGCGCCTGGAGGTAGTGCTGCACCTGGAGATAGTGCTGCACCTGGAGGTAGTGCTGTGCCTGGAGGTAGTGCTGCACCTGGAGGTAGTGCTGTGCCTGGAGGTAGTGCTGCGCCTGGAGGTAGTGCTGCACCTGGAGATAGTGCTGTGCCTGGAGGTAGTGCTGTGCCTGGAGGTAGTGCTGCACCTGGAGGTAGTGCTGTGCCTGGAGGTAGTGCTGTGCCTGGAGGTAGTGCTGCACCTGGAGGTAGTGCTGCGCCTGGAGGTAGTGCTGCACCTGGAGGTAGTGCTGTGCCTGGAGGTAGTGCTGCGCCTGGAGATAGTGCTGCACCTGGAGGTAGTGCTGTGGCCTGGAGGTAGTGCTGAAACCTGGAGGTAGTGCTGTGCCTGGAGGTAGTGCTGCGCCTGGAGGTAGTGCTGTGCCTGGAGGTAGTGCTGTGCCTGGAGGTAGTGCTGTGCCTGGAGGTAGTGCTGCACCTGGAGGTAGTGCTGTGCCTGGAGGTAATGCTGTGCCTGGAGGTAGTGCTGTGCCTGGAGGTAGTGCTGCACCTGGAGGTAGTGCTGTGCCTGGAGGTAGTGCTGTGCCTGGAGGTAGTGCTGTGCCTGGAGGTAGTGCTGTGCCTGGAGGTAGTGCTGTGTCTGGAGGTAGTGCTGCACCTGGAGGTAGTGCTGTGCCTGGAGGTAGTGCTGTGCCTGGAGGTAGTGCTGTGCCTGGAGGTAGTGCTGTGCCTGGAGGTAGTGCTGTGCCTGGAGGTAGTGCTGCGCCTGGAGGTAGTGCTGCACCTGGAGGTAGTGCTGTGCCTGGAGGTTGTGCTGCGCCTGGAGGTAGTGCTACACCTGGAGGTAGTGGTGTGCCTGGAGGTTGTGCTGTGCCTGGAGGTTGTGCTGCACCTGGAGGTTGTGCTGTGCCTGGAGGTAGTGCTGCGCCTGGAGGTAGTGCTGTGCCTGGAGGTTGTGCTGTGCCTGGAGGTTGTGCTGCACCTGGAGGTTGTGCTGCGCCTGGAGGTAGTGCTGTGCCTGGACGTAGTCTTCAAGACTAGCTAATCTGCGCCACCTAAAAATCTTGCTATGGACTGCAAACCTTGGCGCCAAATATTCCTTCAAGACGTCACAAGTCTGCCCACAAACACTCCTTTTGAAGACCCTGGCAACTGTTACTTCAGACTGTTCAGGTAATTCCTTACATTGTTGTCTTCTGCTGTTACTGCTGCTGCTGCTGCTGCTACTGCCGTTACTGCTAGTGCTGGTGTTACTGCTGTTACTGCTGCTGCTGCTACTGCTGTTACTGCTAATGCTGGTGTTACTGCTGTTACTGCTGCTGCTGCTACTGCTGTTACTGCTAGTGCTGGTGTTACTGCTGTTACTGCTGCTGCTGCTACTGCTGTTACTGCTGCTGCTGCTGTTACTGCTTTTACTACTGCTGCTACTGCTGTTAATGCTAGTGCTGGTGTTACTGCTGTTACTGCTGCTGCTGCTACTGCTGTTACTGCTGCTGTTGCTGTTGCTGCTAGT